ATATATATAGGAGTTGAGATGTTTTTGGTCTGATTTCCCACAATGCAGCTGAGCTCTTGCAGGGATCCGTTCATACATTCAACTACAGAATTAAGCCAACATGGGAATTAGCCAGCAGGTACTTTGCCATGCAAATTCACCAATGGGAAAGTCAGTGTGTGCGCGCGTGTGTGCGTGTGTGTGTGACAGTTACGATACTTTCATATTCACCACACCTCAAAGACAACACGTTCTCTCCGAGGCCTACTTCAAACACGGCCCCCGGCTGTCTGTTTGTGCTCCGGTCATGTCCGGCTATCGTCTCATATTCTTCACTCTGCTTCTGATTTGTCTCCCACAGGAATGACTCGACCCCCCCCCCCCCCCGCCCCACACACACACAGACACTCCCTGAACGAACATCTACATCTTAATGTGCACAGATTTTATCTATTTAATTTCCCACGTGACTCGGGAGCACAAATAAACGTCTGAGATCTCACATACAAGACAACAGGCTGTTACATCCATATCACTGGTTTATACAGTGGGGAAAAAGTACTGGAAATGCACAAAGAGACAGTAACACATGCAAATCACCCCCCCACAGCTATCTTTTGCCTTCATGTACAACGCGGGCCCTTGAAAGGGCAAAGCAGTGGCACAATGACATTGGAGAGAATCACGGAGGCTTTGTGTGTGCACAGAGAAGAAAAGAGGAGAGAGAGCCTGCACCCTTATTCAATTAGCGCCACTAGCCTGGAGTAATTACTGCTACTCTCCCTAATTCCCATGTAAATTTGCGATGAACGCTGCACTATTTTAATACAATTTAGCGCCAATTTGACTGGATGCCAGCGTTGTGCATGCTGAAGAGGAGCTGTGTGTGTGTGTGTGTGTTTGTGTGCATAACCATGCATTTACGTCAGGGACAAACCTGCCACAGAAAGATGGACCCTCTGTGTGATTTTAGACTAAAAGAAAAGGCAGCGAGAGTTGGAGGGGAGGGCATTAAAAGGAGAACAGGTTTGTAGTGATGACACGGGGAACAGATAAGATCTGCAGTGGGCCCTTACGCTCTCTCTCCTGTGGGAGCAGCAGCTTTAACATGTTCCTACTAATTTGCTCTCGTTTTGTCGTCTGGCTGCTGTGCACACATTCAAATTATGATCTGGTAACGACCAAGATTAAAATGTTTTGACTTAAAAGGTGACGTTTTAATTCTGAGTCCATCAGTTTAGTGATATTGGCTCAGGGTTGTGATAACTCATCAAGTGTCTCGTAGTTTTGTATGCAGTGCAGGTGAGCAGGTAAGTTAATAAAAAGCAAACCCAATCACCGCTGCTATCTTTCCCTGTATTGATTTTTCTCCAGCCAATAACCTGCCTGCTTAGTTAATTGTCTAATTAGGCACTAACTGGTCCGTATAATTAGTCATTTTAGGATATTGTTCAAGATAAATAACATGGGTCTGAGTCAAAGATTCCTCCAACTCTGCACAGCTTTTCTGCTCACCAAGACATCCAAATCAGATACCCAGCATCTTTTCTTGGTCACAGGTTCCTCAACAAGAGTTTGATTGGTCTATTTTGATGTTCTCTGTTGCGCTTTCAACATCATAATCAAAGATTAATGAAAACAATTCAAGAGATAGAAGTATTTTACGTTTTTCATATCATCTTGGGAGCCAGATAAGATGTCAATGAGGGCCACATTTGGCCCCCGGGCCTTGAGTTTAACACATGGTTTAGCGTATATCTTAGATCAGGGGTCTACAACCTGCGGCTCTGGAGCCACACACGGCTCTTTGGTTCCTCTGAAGTGGCTCTTTCAAGCTTTGACCAAAACTAACATAAAACTGAATGTTATTGGTTGTTATACAAATGACCAAAAGGACTAGTTTTAGCAATTTTTCTGTAATTTTTTTTGCAAATATGTGAATATTGGAACTTGTACAAGGAGTAAAACACTCACTTTAACTTTATGCTTTATTTCTATACTTATTTAATTGTTCCACAATAAAAAAAAATACATAGGTCTGCATAGTTCATAGTTTTTATTACCGGTAATTAGAAAACCACCCCCCCCCCCCCCCCACACACACACACACAAGAATATGGTCTTTTCATTCGTCTTAAATTGTAAAAATTATTAGAAATGTTTTAGCTTTATAATGTCACCCCTAATGGCCACAAAAGCCCCCTTCAACAAACCTAAAGTGGCCCATGGGCCACCAGTTGATAATCCCAGTTGTAGCAGGTTGTTGCGGCTCTGATCACTTTTAATTTAGTAAACAAAGGCGTAAAATGGCTTTTTTGATCATAAAGGTTGCAGACCCCTGGTTTAGATCCTTATATACTGTTTCTTTTTATACTCAATATGTTTGCTATTTTTGGGTTTAACTGGGACCTTGAATACACAATTTCATTCGTGATGCGAATGACAATAAAGATACTTGAACTTGATATAGATTGGCATTAGAATATTATTAAAAAGTACAACATTTAACAAAAAGAAGTCAAAAGATTAAAATAAAACGATCAATTCTGAAGACAAAACAATAAATCTATCCTTCTTTAACAATGCTTTGTATCTCATGATCACAGTTTCCTTGTCATTAAAGTTAAATAACATTAAAGAGTGGAAACTTATTGAAACAATTCCCAGAAACCAGTCTAATAACCCTGTTGAATTTCACATCATGTGATAGCTTGTTAAAAAAGACGGTCTGAAGAAAATGTTGATGTTATTACCAGAAGCAAAAGCAAATAAGCCAGTTCTGTTAACCAGTGATGTTTTATTCAACTCTCACAGTGTGATGTAACCGTTGACAGCAGCGTCTACATTTTTATGGCAAACTTTAGCAGGTTTTTAGCAGCTGTCTGCCTGTAGCTCGTGCCACTCTTTCACTGCCCGTAGGTGCTAAACCCTCTGATTGGGATTGCAATATTTGATCACATAAATGGCACATTAGTTTTTATTTTTTGTAAGCATTTATGTAAAAACAGCGCATGTCACAAGTACACACAAAAATGCTCCAAATACACTTTAGTGTTAGCTGTTAGCTCATTTTCATGGTATGCAGACATGTTTATTTGTCCTAGCTAATTTGGAAAATCCACGCAGACCAATTAGACGAGGGGGGATTTCCCATCAGAGTTAGTGGGACTTTGACAAATACAGTGTTGTTTAGCTTACGTCCATCCAGCCTATCTCACTTCTAATTTACTAGAAAACAGACAAACCGCAGTAGACAGCCAGCAGGACTGCTCGACAGCTCTTTACAAGTCACCGGAAAGGAAGAATGAAGAGATCTGTTTAAAACCCAAGCAGTTTGGTGAGACAGAGGGCCGAGTTTGGTCCTAACCTAGAACCATGTTTATGGATCTGTGTACGATTTCTGTGAACTTTATTTGTGGTGAAAACAAGCCATGCGTGGCCACCTAAAGCATATATGGGTAAGCACAGGGCTGAATTTCAGAGGCAACACTCTGTGTGCCTGTGTGTTTATGTGTGTGTAATCACATTAGCAGGTGTGTCTCAGCTGTTGAGGTGATTTGGGTTTTTGTCGACACCCTTTGGTCCACTGCATTGGTCAAAGTGTGTCTTCCTGTGCACCATTTTCCACCCTCTGCTTCTTAATGGAAACATATCCTTCTACCTGCCCTATATATGCTGTTTAACTGAACAAAAAGCAGCTGCACATGGCTGTACTGAACAGATATTTGTATGGGAATTGGTCAGATGTCACCTGTTTTCTCTGTGTGGAAATCCCCAGCTCCCCAGGCCCTGCTGTGCGATGCAATGATTCACTCCTAATTCCAAAGTGTTTGCTTGGCTGTTTGTGGTGTGCATGTTTCTGTGAGCGTTGACTGGTGCAAGAAGTGTCATTACATGTGTATTTTTTTATGCAAGCACATTGTTCATGTGGGCTCAGCTTTCATTTGAATGTGCTTATTTAAGAGCATGCATTGCTTGTTCAAAGTAATTAGGAGACAAACAATTAACATCTTTTACACGTGTCATTTTTCACATGGTTAGACCTGGATACAGGGTAACGATTTGCAATAAATAGCCGTACATGGCTTTTTGTGGTGCTAAAATGTGTCTTTCTGCGTATGTGTGTGTGGTGGTGTTTGCAGGTCTGCAGGTTTGTGTGTCAAAAGCTGACCTTTGACA